GTATAAATAATATTTTGTTAATAATTCTGTAAAGGTGAAATGGTTTATAGAATGAAGAGTAGGCTTCAGAAACGAGATACTTTTTAAAAATTCACTTTCTTATGAGAACTGTTATGAGTACACATAAATATTTTTGCTTGACATTTACTTCTGTTTGTAGCTTTTGAGTTTTAGGAAGCAATCCTTTTTGGATAATTTGCTAGTGAGTCTTCACAATTTGATGTTTAAAGAGGAGTCTTTTGTTTTTACACACTTTCCTTCTTTTTACTTAAATTGATGATCCTGAATTCTCTTCATGAACATGTGAAGAACTAACATAAAGAACAATTCCAAACTGGGAATGTTTATTAACAATATACAGAAAACCAACAAGCCTAGGCTAAAGTGGAGAGCCTTTTTATCCTTCTACATTTAAAAGGTTCCTATCTTATCTCGCACTAAAACAATAAAAATGAATAAGTTGCATTGGTCCCTTACATGAAAATTATCATTTGATAAAGGATAACAAGATCATAACATAAGAGATTCTGAATTCCTAGATGTGTCAAAGGCTCCCAAGGCACTCACATATGGGGTAGTGGTAGCCAGGGTCTCCCACCAGATAAAATGTATCTGCTGAAGTCACAATGCTAACTGATTATAAAATTCTTGTGTTATTTTCTAATATTCAGCAGAATAGATATTCACAACTAGATATTTGTGAAAAAATACAAGAGAAAACATTTCCTTCTAATTGTCATTGTATATATGCAATAGCTGCACATGAAGACGCAGCAAGTTTTAGGAAGAAAATTTATGTTCTCCCATTTGTTTGAACAAATGTATCTCCCCTCTAGATTTTTGTTGAGAAGATATCCCTCAACAGCAGATTTTGAAGGATAAAAGTCAGAATAAACCAGAACACATTCTTTCCGTATGTATTTCTTAGTGAGAGATATTGGTTCCAAGGTCTTCCATGGGGTTGATATTTAACAGCTTAGTGCTCTGTGTGCATGTACTTTTGAAGTCCTTTCATTTGTTTACTGTAAAAAGTATATATCATCGATGTAGAATATATTATGGTTGTCTCAGTAGTTCACCGGCCCTCTAAGTATATCAAAATCAAGTTCAAAGAATGTGGAATACTCCCTAGTTTGATTTTGTAAAACTACTGCATAGAATCTTTATAATTTGAAATCATGACACAAATGGAATTTTATGTCTTTGAGAAATATTTTAACATTTCACATTGTTTTATTGAATATGGAAAAAATTTGGACGTTATGAGATCTTGACCAAAACAAATTATAAATAGAAGAATCAGCGCTAGTCTGAACAATACTGAAAAAACATATTGGTACTGTTCTGTAAAAACAGCAATTGTGAACAAAACCCATTATGTACATACTCCTATTTGGTGCCCTCAGCGTTAGGATTATTTTGAACCTTAATGTAAAAGTGTCAATTAAGAATTTATTTAGTTTTTGAGAATTTATTTAAAAAAGTTTTAGTTGTACCAAGTATAGTAATAAACACCTATAATAAAATCTAGTAAGCTGAGGCAGAAGATTGTATATTCACTGACATCCTGTACCACATGGCAGTACTCTTTACTCAAAGCAAACAAATAAAATTAGTGAAATGCAAATACTTGAAAGCATCAATATATATGTTCTACTTTTTATAACAAATGTATCTATCTAGCACTTCTGTAAGTGAGGGACACAATCATGGTCTCCTGCCTGGTGTGGAGAGGCTTTACTCTGTCATTGAAAAACTCTCACATTTCATTTAAGACAGATGTGAAGCAAAGTTTGACCTGTGGTTCTCAAGCTTCAGAATTATGTGTTCCTTGGCCATCCCTTCTTCATCACTTGATCTTGGTAAATTTGCCCTAAGTATAACCATAGTAACAACCCTATTAACACATGGCATGTGCTCTTACACATGCCAATTTTATTGATTGATACATAGGTTAGGACTTTTGTCAGACTTTGTGAGATAGATCTATAGGCATGGATTACATAAAGAGTAGTGCTGAATGAGCACTGAAATCTGAAAAAACAAAAAACCTGAAGAACAAGATGTTTGACTGAAAAAAGATGAAGTACATCATCATATACCTAATATAACTGATGAGGTCAAGAGTTCATTCTTATCTGCAGGTTAGAAACTTCGACAGAGATGTATGTCTAATTCATTTTCAGTAAACCCAGGTTGTTTCTTTTCACACAGTTCTTTCTTTGGCAACAATGCACATGCAATCAATACAGGTATTCATGACAAACAATTATCAAAGGGCAAGAAGCCTGCTCTCTATTTTCTTAAGTTTGTATGGTCATTCTGTCACTGATTTCACCTGGGTGTCCGACAGTGCATAGAGTGCCTTGCTCTCCCCAAACACTCTGCCCTTACTAGTGATCAATGTTACCATAGGTTAAAGGCATTGTTAAAATATATTTAATTTTTTAAAAAATAAGCATTTGAGACAATTATACAAATAGAGACAGTAATCATTTACACCCATCATTTAATTTCAAATTAAGAAAAAATGTAACATATTTCATTATTGGATTTTGTGAAATTTCTAATTCAAAAATATTTCATTTTAGCTAAGAAGGAGAATGAACTGAAAGTGGTTGTCTAATGAACGGTTGCCATTTGTCAGGGCATGAAGGTTTCATGGCATTCCATGAGGTAACCACTTGGTGTTCTTCAAATGAACAAAAGATAAAGATACTCATATAACCACCCTAATTTAATATTTATATTGTGGGTGTAGCTCCAGTAAGGACAGAGAGTGAAAACAAATGATGCTCATCAAAGAGAGGGAATATCCTTCCTTTACCCTCAGTATTTCTTTAAAAGGGAAAGAATGAAAAAAAAAGGAAGAGATAAAGCTTATTGAAAGCTTGATTTCCCAGGGCAAACTGAGTGTTTATAAAATTGAGAACAGCTTAGAATCCTTAGACTAGTCTTGCCTGGAATGAGGACTGAATTTCTGAAGACAAGATACAAACAGCACAGACATGCTATCTGTTGAAAACATTCTACTGAAGCTAATTGGATAATAATAAAAAGTACTCTTTACATATAAAATGTTTCCCAGATACCAAAATGTCAAATAAAAATCCCTCCCCACCTGCTGTGTTCCTAGGTATACCATATACTCATTTGAGACAGGTTTCTTAGCACTTAATCTCAGGTACGGCTGGAATCAGAGATCACCCCACCCCCACCACACACACATTAAAGATTTGTTATTTCCTATAGCACCATATGGTAAGGTAAGTCATGGGTAGTGGCTGTAAGAGTTGAATGTATTCTAGTGGAGACCTGGTTATTGGCAGCTTCAACTTTGGGCACCAGGATCCTTCTAAAATTATAGCTATTCACTTCATGACTCAGGGAGTATTCTGAAGTCTATATGGCCCTTTTACTCTTTTTGGTCAGCATGTTATCTAACTACTGTGTGAAGGCCTGAGAGCACTGGATTCTATGCCTCCTATATTGTTACTTAGAAATGATGTGAGTCACTGGAAGTGTGATAAATTCACCTTAATTCACAGCAAGGTAGATACTGCAATAAAGTCTGAATGAGAGTGTTTAATATACATAGGAAGAGAGAAACCAGAGGCTAACTCTCGAATATAATTTCTACTCTACTTTAGTAATACCAATTGGTCAACAACAGCATTCCACAATAGCTACCAGTAATTTAAATATTTTGTATATAAAAAAATATACCAGAACAATGACTCAAAGCAAAAATATAATGGGTGATGTTCAGTCTCCAGTTGATGATGTATATGTTGCTTATTTAATTACAAATATCTGTCCCTACAATAAAAATGAGGGATATGAAGCAAATTCAAAGCTATGGTGTAGAGATTACCATGTCCTAGTAAGAATATGAGCTTAAGGAACAAAGCAATGATGGCTCAGGTATTTGCCAGATCAGGTTTACGTAGAAAGTCTCAGTACTTTCTGCAAGTACTACTTGTCAGCTGATGACCTTAGATGTGCCCTTTGAGCTTAGACACTTTGCAATATTGCTTCCTGTTTCAAAAGGAAACAAATGCCGCTGTAACTACCACAAATAGCTATTTCTGTGGAAGATTTTGTTTTGAGTTCAGAAAATACTAATAACCATAAATTTTTCATAACATGGCCATTAAATTTGCCTTATACTCATTATTTTCAGAATGTGGGGGAAAGGCTTGTAGGATAATCATATGCTATACAGTCTTTATTAAAGTAATATGTTATACTGGGACTTAAGTTATATTGATCTTACTGTATCTTTGTTTTTTGTTTTTTTGTTTTTTTTTTAAATAACTTCACTTCCTCAGAGTTAGATGAATAGAACCTTTAGATGAATAATATTTAATATTTCAAGAACAAAACAAAAAAAGAATGAAAGGGCAAACAAAAGAAACAAAAACAAAAAAAAAACAAATAAAAACAAAAACAAAAAATTCCAACAAGGTTGATCTCAACACTGCAGTATGGCCTCACTTATTTGATACGTAGGGTAAATAACAACATATTGGTCCATAAGATGCTTAACTTTCAGGATTTTATAGACCTACAGAAATTTACTAAGATACTCACAAATAGAAAATGTTTTCAAGTGAAACTGAGTTGAGCAAGAATATATTAAAATTTACAATGTTTGAAAATGCTAACAATCTTGCTGCTCTACTCAAAGCAACAAAACTCTAATAGTCACAAATGACCCCACACATCTTTTGTCTGATACAATGTAGGTTTATATCAATAGGTTTTCAACATCCCAGATCTCAGTTTCCTATTAAACCCTTTTGATTAGTTTGTTAATGTTCTTTCTATTCCCTAAATTGTATTCTGTCTGATACCAATGAACATTTACAGATAATTTGCAATAGTTAACACAACTAAACTTACCTCAAAAAAGAATCGCATGTTTTCTCTGTTTGAAACAGAAACCAATAAAATTTTAAACAAGCTCTCCCCAAGCTACAGTAAAAGCAATCTTTTACATACTTTCAAATACTGTGCCTTTTTATTTTAAACAGTGTAAACATAACAACACCACCAATAATTGGATAAAGACTGGGTATGTGAACACTAGTTTCCGTGAACACCCCATGAAATTAGGGAAAATAAATAGACACATCTTCAGGAGAGGTTTCAGTTCACCTTAGCAGTGGTAAAAATATTGCTTTATTCCAAATGAACATACAACACAATTTGTTGTTTTGGGGCATTGCTTGTGAACTGAATCGTCTGGGATTTGTGGTTTTCAACAATTTATTCCTTTTACAGTAACAACAGAAAGCCAATGCCTCTGTCTCCACAGAGCAGACTTGCTGTAAATTAGCAATGAGGATGACGAGAAATAAAATAGTCAACTATCAATTTGATGATTGGCTTGTGTCAGTAATTTAAGTAAATGATTCAAAATAAACACATCCTCCATTAATTTGCTTTGTGATGCTGATATCAATAAGCCAAAGGCTGTCCTTTTCAATAGTATTCACATCAGAAAATGGTCTAGACATTGTCAAGAATTTTATACGACCCCACCATGCAAGTTACCTTGGTTTAAGAACTCGCTAACCAAATTTACATTTAATGGAAAATTTAAAGTGAAAAGATCTTAAAGGGGAAATCTCTTCTAAATTTTAGTTTCCCTGATGTTTCAGAACAAATTTTAGCAAGCTTTAATACACACACACACACACACACACATGCACACACATACATACAGGGGACACATGTGCATCCAGCTTGGGTGAGCAAGCCCACAATTGCACCCTCACACCTGTACACACACACACACACACACACACACACACACACACACACACACAGGTGCCCTTTCAGAGCTTCTAATCACTCTCCAAGAAAAACATTTCTATTAGTATAATTTTAGTAACACAACGCTGTCATTTTGTCTCTTTTCCTATAATAATTTAACACCTCCCTCTGAGGCTCTGTGCTTTCAAATTATGAAAGATGGCACATGAGAGTAGTTAATTTTGCCCAGATTCCTCCTATCTTCCGTCTTCCCTCCTGCTCATGTTTTCCTGCCATTGTTTGAAAATCAAATACAAAGCACTACATTCCTCGACATGACATAACTTGTAGAGAGCATTGATGAATAGAAATTTAGGGGTTGGAACTCAAGAGCCAAACGGCCAGGGCTGTCTGCTTCACTGGCACACTTGTTCTTGGAATAAACTTTATCTCTTTGAAGCTAGGAGAACACCAGTTTCTGTTCTATATAGACACTGGTACTATGAGACCAAAGGTTGGAATTAGCCAAATCTTCCAAGAGCCAAAGGAGATAGTGTAAGGACTAACTGAAATTGGATTCAGAATTCTCCCCTAAAGCTTTAGTGGTAAGCTTTATCCCTCCTGAAACACTTCTTTCCCTTTAAAAAAATATTTTGTTAAAAAACACTATGATATGAGGGCGGCAGACTATTTGGTTTCTTCTAAGTAGATGCTCTTAAATTAATGCATATAAATAATTTGTATTTAATTTCCTCTCCTTCCTGTTGAGCAAAGCATAGAATGCACAGATTCCTACATCTCGAGTCACTTGGTTAGCACAGAGTCTCTTTGTATTTCATTTCTTAAGACAAATTGTGCCTCTCGTTCTGATTTGGCCGTGGGACTCAGGGGGAGAAAGGCTGTGTTTTCGCTCGCACTGTCCTCAGTTTCCATGCTGGCCAGTTCGTAGTCTTCTGACCGTCTGGCATCAGTCAGAATCCGGATCTGTTCCTGCACAGTCTCTAGTAATATTTTCACTTCCTGTTGTTCTTCTAGAAGACAATCACTGACTGGAATACTCGCATTGACAACGTCAGCGGAGTAGGAGTTTTTGCACCATTTAATGCTTTTGACGTCAGAAATCCCTGGCATTTGCATGCAGGTTTCTTCTAGACCCACCGACGGGATGATGGGCACAGAATTGGCCCTTGGGGATAAATAACCCACCAGGTCCTTTTGATCCAAGCTATTAAAATAGGGGTTTGTTTCTCTTGAAGGCAGTTGCATATTTATCGATGCATTTTGTTGGGTTCTTAAGCCATTGGATACATACCTGGAAAAAACAAAAGGAGCAGAGTCATATTGCAGCTCCCACTGTGCCTCTGAGAACCATACCATCCAAAAATCACTTTCCACATGCACCATCTCACTGACTTTTCACAGCAACCCCATTAGACGGATACTAGGTTCCCACGGACAGTAAATTGAAATTCAGATCAGTGAAGTGACTTGCTCAAGGTCACACAGAAAAATAAGGGACAGACTGAGACTCAAACCCAGATCTTCTTACTTTAAGTCCAGGGTTCTTTCAACACACCACAGCTGTATAGGCAGGTGGGATATAGTCTTCCTGACCTCTATCCTAGAATACAAAGTAAATGGGTGTTGATCATGTCAGCGTGGCCTTTTCCATCGTGACAAACAGGACACGACCATGGCATCACCTCACTCATAGCTTAGCCACCCTCTTAACTCTGAGTTTGTCTCATAGAATCATGTAGTCACCATCATTAGGGGGTAATCAGGAAGCTTATTTTTGACCATCAAGGTATTGCAGTCATCCAAGCTTCTCCTTTACACATGAAACGTGAATCTGACAGCTGTTGGCATTTTGCTCTATAAGAACTGCCTTGCTGGCCCATTGCTGAACCAGAGGACAAATACAGGAACATCCAATCCCTCTGCCTCTCTAGTGGGAACATGAAGCATCTTCCCAACTTGGTAGTATTTTCCGTGTCCCAACAGTGAGAGAGGGTACTGGTGTACAGCAATGGCTTATCACAAACACCAATGTGCAAATCCACGTAACTTAAGGATTCCAGGATCTGAGTTTTGAACTGCTCAGGGCTGCTGACTTTCTTCCTTTGATCTTACCCATGCCAGGAAGGAAACATGTATATGAGACTTCATGGAAAAGGCTTTGGGAGTGAGCCCTATATGGTAAATTTTATTCTATTTCTAGTAAATAATTCTCAAATACTAAAGTTAACATGTAAGCATATGCTAAACAACTACCATGGAATAGATTTAATTTTCTTGGTTTATATTGTAATGTAAATAATTATCTCTGTACATTTAAATAATAGTTGCAATGAAATGTATTAATAGCTACAAAAAAGTCTCTACTGTGAGGTCACAATGGAAGGAATTTCACCAGAATTAGTAAAGAGGAGCTAGTAGTAATAGTGTCTTTTCTCAGTGTATGTACAATAGAGTTGGTCACCAATAATTTCTGATCTAATGAACATACAATGAATGAATATATCTCCAAGGAAAGGAGTCTGTTATAGTGCATTAACTAATATTAGATATAACAGTTAATATTTACATAATTACTTGAAAAAGTGCTTTCACTTACAATTAAGTCATGCAAAACAGTGTTTTAGTTTATTATTCTTATGTGATAAATGAATAGATAACTGTAAAAGGCATTCATATGACCTGTCCAAAGCTTTATCTTTACATGAGTGACAAAAGGAAGATTCTGTAATCGTCCTTCTGTCACTATTAAAACTGTCAGCATAAAATTCAGAACCAGCTAATGAAGGGACATCCTAAGGTAAACTAGACTATAAAATCTTTTGGGATGCTTAATTTTATATAGCTATGCATAAGAAAATTCCTTGTGGAATCTTATCCCTGTGCTGTATATGACAGAAAATCAGATTATAAAGGTCTAATCCATGAGTCAATCTTGATAAGAAGGAGGAAGCCTCCAGAATGTATGAATATACTGAAAATATGCCTTTTATATATTTACATATAGAAGAGAGCTAAGAAATGTGGCTGTAATAATATTGTAACCACATCAGTGTCATCAGAGTAGATCTATAGGTAGAATCTAATAACTAACTGCCATAGTGACTCACCAATGTGACATGACTAATCAACAAAGGCAATTAGTGCCAAACTTCAAATATCCACCTATTCAACCTGATTTTAAATTAAGGACTTAGATGGGAGAGAGGCTTTGAAGTTAACTCCCCCGGGTCATTGCCGGAACCAGCTACTGGACACATACATGGCAGTAAAGGAAATCTAAACTCTTGCTATAGTGTGAAGGTGGGTTTTAAAGAATGACAGTTATCCAAGGTTGATTTAATTCTGAATACGACATGATTGCAAGCACCAATGTCATTATATGATTTGGACTCTGAGATAATGGTAGGCTTGTTTGAATTCTCCAAATTCTTTTTTTTTAATTGAATATTTTCTTTATTTACATCTCAAACATTGTCTTCTTTCCCGGCCCCCACCCTGGCTCTGAAACCCCCTATCCTATCCCCACTCCCCTGCTTTTATGAAGGCGTTTCTCCACACAGTCAGTGCCCTTAACTGCTGAGCCATCTTTCCAAGCTTTTTTTTGTTTTTGGATTTGCTTGTTTTATGTGAGTATACTGTCACTATCTTCGGACACACCAGAGGTGGACATCAGATCCCATTGTAGATGGTTGTGAGCCACCATGTGGTTGGTTGTTGGGAATTAAACTCAGGGCCTCTGAAAGAGCAGCCAGTGCTCTTAACCACTGAGACATCTCTCCAGGCCCTCTCCAAATTCTTAAAACATATAGAGGCTGGTGATAGAAATCGGTGGATGTTCAATCTTTGTGTGATACAGGCCTGGGTTCAACATCACAAGAAAACAAAAATATAATCTCTCATGCTACTTACTTGAGTACTTGGAGGATAGTAATGCTGTAAGGTTTAAATTAAACAACTTTGTGCCATATTTTTGTGCTATATTATTGCACCAGAGTCACAGGGTGACTATCAGTTCCTCCCTGGGTTGCCCTGAGGGGTCTCAGCTTTGATGTTTTGGTAAACGCCTAAATAGAATCTAAATTTCTAGGTGGAATGATGACATAAAAGCTATTCAGACAGAATTCTGCTTCCCTGGAATCGCAACAATTCTTCAATAGTTTGATAGTAAAATCATTCACTGACTGCTAACATTAGTTTTTACTGCACTCTCTGTCACCCCTCAAGAAAAAAAAAATCAGAACCCACAATTATGTTTTTCTCTTTGACCATGTGAGCAAAGAAAGGTTGCAATTGTTAGTGTCTGTTTAATTTGTTGTGAGCCATGGGTCAGGCCACAGACTTTGTTTCTGTAGTTAACTCTTTTGTTGTTGTTACTTTAGTGTTTGTTTGCTTGTTTGAGACAGGGTTTCTTTGTGTAGCCTTTGCTGTCCTGGAATTCACTCTGTAGACCAGGCTGGCCTCAAACTCAGAGATGTACCTGCTTCTGTCTCCTGAGTACAAGGATAAAAAGTGTACATCATTACCACTCGGGTAGCTGACTCCAAAGACACAATTTTTGAGGTATGTAGTAGTGAAAAAACTGACCATCCCTACAATTAGCTATTCCATCTTACATCCTCAGACATTGGAGCGTTTTCAGTACATCCGTTTCCTGGTTGTGTAGTTGATTTGGTCAGAAAGCTAAGACACAATCTCACTTTTTCTTATGGGATACCATGAGAAATTCACAGTGCCACTTTGAAATGGTCATTTGAACTTTCCTAGCCTCACTGAATTCACCAAAACAGCTTTAACAATTATCAATAGTAAGGTGCATCCAGTTTCTAGATGGGGTGGGAACTAAGTATGATTTGGATCATGACAACTTTGAGGATGTTAATCTGACTTTTCTGAATCTATTCCTTTTTATTATTATCCTGTAATCTGTCAGTTAATTGGTTTAGCATACAGTAGTCCAATACTTTGAGCATTATTACCTGGGCTGACTCCAGTCAGAGAAAAGGATCCTCAGCCTACATCTACTCCATTCTAAGAGCTGCTGTGCTAGATTAGGCAATGGGTTCAAGCTCGCACAATTTCCAGTCCAAGAGAGAAGCCACATACATGAGGCCTATTTAGCAGACAACAACCACATGCTTGGTGAACGGGACCAGATGGTTGATGGTTCTTACAAATTCATTTACTCCCCTTTCAGGCTTAGGGCAGATTTGAAGAATGTTAGCTAGGAAATTTTATTACCAACCTCATTTCCAGTCCCAGGAGAAAGTCCGTCCCACAGGAGTGTGGAAAATAGCTGTTTTTAAGAACTGAGAATGAGATTGCTTCCTAAGACTTACTGAGCTGAAGCCAGAGTAACTTACAGAGTCAACATTAAACAACACTGAGTACATATGACACAGATAAAGAGTATGTGGCCAGTCAGCTACAGAGACTACTGCCAAGCCGGTAGTGACTGAGCCAATATAAAGTTACAACCATGTAGGCCCAGGAGGGAAAAGATGAGGCAGAAAATGAAAATTCTGAACCCCTGCAAGGTCTGTGAATCTGTGATACAAACTACAACCTGCCTCAGGCTCTGAGCATCCTTACATCAGGAACATGGTGGGTGAGAGCCAGAGTAGTCACCAAAAGGAAAAAAATACAGTACAAGATGTGTTTTCTAGAGACCCATTCTAATATTTGCCATAGGGAAAGACAGGCTGCGTACATGAATGCAGTCCTATGAAAGAGGGTCAGTATTGGTATCAGCTAAATGAAACCCCTTTTTCACAGGTAAGGCCAAGCAAAATGGCAACCACTTCTTCACTTTCATTACACACTTTTGACTAATTAGCGTTCCTGTCTCTTTTCATCCTATCTCCTAGAAATCTTTCTTTATAAAGAAATCCGTGTGGAACTTAATCAGACAGGGCAACAGTTCATCTATCCCATGTCTAGAAGACAAGAGAAATGTAAAGGTTATGAGCTAGACATCCTATCTGCTGTAGTCCCAGGAGAAACATAAGCAATCTAAAATAATAATAAAACAAACTGAATAAAAAACCTTGAATAAAAAACTGCACAGAAAACCAGTCTGGCTCCTTCATAAAGTCAACTTCTAGATACAACTAGAATCTGATTCTGGAAATACATAGATTAAATCTAGATTCCTGAAAATAATGGTAGCATTATGAGAATCACTATGATAAACATTCTTTCTGTTTTACTTAAGTAAAAACTTAAGCTAAAACTTAAGGAAGTTTCTTAAAGATCTTTTTGATCTGACCAATGACCTTTGGTCATATGAAGCTTAGGCTCAGATGACAACGTTTTCTGAAGTTGACACAAGTTGTAAGGGACAGAGATAAAACTTTAATTATAAGTTACCCCATGTATACTTTGGTGGCTTACATACACTAAGAGCTTAGTTGTGACTAAATCCATCTTGCAATCTACTCTCTATGCCTTGAGCTCTACCTATGTTGGTGCCTCCTAGTGGACATGGTGCTTTTGTACTGTTTACAATAGCCGTGGTTTACAAAATCCCTGATACCTCCATACCTCATATCTCCATAGCATGAATAATGAAGACATCTGAGTTCTGAAACTTTCTCTGTGATTTTCTGATGTTAATATTTACCTAATCCCCTAATTCAAGATTACTGGGTAGAAGTAGATACCTCATTTATGTTGAAGGTTAATTTTTAGGGCTTTGTCCATACTACTGATCAGAAAGTTACATTTCTAACTTACTGATAAAAGGATACTTCAATACTTCCAAGCTTCCCAGAAAGCTTCCTCTTCATCTTCTTTTTTAAAAAAACCAGGTATACACTTAGTGTCAGACTTCTAATAGTCTCCCATGTAAGTTCCTTGCTATAAGACCTACCCTTGGCAAGGTATGGTATCCTGGTCTGGAATTCTTGATTCTTCAAGTTGTTGATATGCTGGTCCTACAATACCACCCAATCGACTTCGGGGTGAGGGTGGTGTCCTTCTGAATGTATTCCTATGCAACATCCCACTCCTTTGTCCTGGGCTGCAGCAAGAAGAAATACTCCTGCTGGGTTGGGAAAATAAAACAAAACCAACAAACCAAAGTGATCATAATAACTTCTAAGAAGTGCTAAAATGTCTCAGACATTCAATTTTGACCACACATCTTTAAGTTCTATACTGTCAGTATCAAATATGTACTAAGATAAAATTAGAAGTTGCTTAATTCATTTATTGTTGGAGGTGCTGAGAGACAATTGCTTGTCTTCCTGGCCTTCTAGCTAACATAGAAGTGGGTTTAAGGAAGTCTCATGATCCCAATTCTCCTCTACCCTGATTTCCCAAGCAGCAGTAGCTGTCTTTCTAATTGGCATAAAAATGCCCTCATTAGGCAGTGATGAGAACCAAATGTAGGAAGCCCAGAGGGGATTTATGGGGAAATTTCCATTTCTTAGTGATAGGATAAACAGGCCTTACTTTAATTGGCATTCTTTATTTCACATGAGTGTTAAATTCTCAGCTTTCTGTCCTAGATTTTCATCAGTCTCAAGAAACTAGTTATACATTTCAGTTTGCTTTTTGAAAGCACCTGGTTCAATTTTATTGGGTGTACGCATCCAAACGTCTCAAATGACTGAATATTTGTAGAGGCCATCAACAACAAAAGGTATAAGTAAAAGTAACGTAGATCCCAAGCCTTAACAAAGTAAGCCCTCATACATAGGTTATTTCAAAGGAATTAGTTTCTCTGAAGATAAATAACCAAGTTCAGTGAAATATTCCTAATCAACTTCCTTCCTCACCCTACTGAGTTGCTTGCTTTCAAACTTAAGTGTTCCCTCGGATGTCAGGTTATACAGTTCAAATGGTTCTTCCATGATCATATTATGAGCTAAAACTCTTATGCTGCACTTACACTGTCTAAAAATACCACTGCAATTATAGGCCAGGATGAAAATACTCATACGTCAACAGGGCACTCATAGGGGACAGCCTCTTAATGCAGTCTTAACCAAATTACTATACTATTTGGGATTTTTCGCGATTTTCATCAATATTACCACTATTCCAAGTTTATAAATACAAAACATATTTAATAAATTTGTGAGATCAAGAATTACTATGTTGCTCTGGCTAACCTGAAACTCTCCTGGAATTCACAGAGATCCGTCTGTGTCTATCTCCTGACTGCTGAGCTCAAATACATGCCCTACCCCACACGACAAATATTTGCAAATAGTTTCATTGGGAGTTTGATTGGAAGTTGAGACTTGAGTGCTACCAACATTTTGCCAGTTCTGTTAAGGTGGCAGGTGGACGTTAACTTCTCTATCTTGTGCAGGCACCAAATCATAGTATGTTATTTTAGTTGTTAGCTATGTATCTGCTGTAGAGTTCCCAAAATACTTAACGACATGGTCATCATATTCAGTCTCTAAGCCAACATCTTTGAGGAGCTTTCTAACAGTGGCTCTGTTTCCTTCCTTCCCACTTTTGTAGGACTTTGGCACTAGAGTAAGCTGCTCACATCTCTCTGCTACCAAAAGCATGATGATAGTTGTGTCAGAGTCTTGGAGGAAATAAAACCCACTTTAACTTAGACCAATTGAGAAGATTATAAGAGGCATGGTCAATGATCATTACTTGGGGGGAAACAAGGTGAAGCTACACAAGACATTGCTGCACTTCAGGCCACTAGCAATAGGAAGCCATTGATATAAAGGAGAGGGGGCATTTTTCAGAATAGAGACTGTAAAGACCAAATCAGGTATCAGGCTTTGGAGTCCCAAAAGATCAGAGTGGGACAGAACTGAGGCAGGGAATGAAATGACTATGACCTCCTTGTGCCATCCCTTTCATACCTCACCAGCACTTACCTCACTCTAATGTGCCAGAAGCCAGAGGACAGGGAAGTCTGAATCTCACCTGCTGCATAAGGATTTGCACAGAAAGTGATTTGAGTGTGGTTGGGGGTGAGATGAGTCAGCATCACCGAGAATTTTTGTGGATTACACCAGAGATGAAAGCGGTCAAGTACACTAAATGTCCTATATGAGGTGAACATGTGAGGGGCACAACACCACATGGTTCTATGAATTGGTGCACCATAACCGGCACTGCAAATGTTCCTCTGTGTCACTGGATGCCCTGGGCACCTGTCACTGTTGATAACCTATATTGATGCCATTGTGAGCAAGTTAGATTGCCAAAATACAATGCAACAAAATAAAGACATGCCTCAATAGATTTTTTTCAACAGGTAGGTTTTCCACTAAATGTTAGAAATAATGGCTGGTTTTATATTGATAGCTTTATTTCATATTAAGGCATCTAAGGGAGTCATATTTTCAGTGCACAACTAGAAATTAATTATGCATAGCTTGCTGAACTGTCAAAACAAGGTCTATCAGTGTGAAGTAGTGGCCCATCTTCAAAAGCAGTTGTAGACCTATTGATCAATGAGCAGTTCAAGCCTTCTAACCCAGGGGCACTCAGGAAGTTATGAAGCGGGTGGAAAGAAGTATAAATCAGTAAACAGGTTATCAATCATGAAACTGTTTAGTCTCTTGCATGTTTTACAAAATAAAAGCCATGATGTACTAAACTGTAATTTCAAGTTCTAAAAGTACTTTATAAATCAACCCTTGCCAATCTATCAGCACATAGCCATCAGACACTGCAATGTCATTGAATTCAAAACAAACAATCAACAACAACAACAACAAAACAACCTAGAAGGCCCTTTAAAGATACCGTCATTTAATCTTGGAGTTATAGAAACCAAGATCAAAGTCAATGGTGAGAGACTGACAAAAAATGTACCTGGGCACAGGAGTGCTGTCATTCCAACATGGCAGAAGTCACCACTTAAAAAAATCTCAAATTTAAAGTATTTTTGCCATAACTACAGAGTAATATTATACTATTATACTATTATATTATATTATATTATATTATATTATATTATATTATATTATATTATTTTACATGACAGAGTATATAACTACAGTAACATATTTTAGAATAAACTGGGAGAAATACTGTTTTGGAAAAAACTTTTTGCTTTGTAAAAGACTAGCAATTTTGGACTTTATTTCTGTTTAAAAAAATGCAGCTTCCATAGGCCAAGTGAAGTAAAAGACTGTTTTCACAGGAATTTTGGGAATGCACACTACAACATATCACAGACTTGCCGATAGTAACTAATACATCTACCCAGATTCCAAACTATTTCACTCCTAAGCTGAAGATACTAAAACTATTTTCTTTGTCAAATCCTTGAAACCCTAGAATCTATCTACTGCAAATGTATGGGAATAAATAACATCAGCAGCTTCTGAGGTGTAGTGTGCTCATTGTTAGAATGACTGAAAATCTCATAGCAAGTATAGCCAGGAAGGCATACTCTTGGGGGAGGAAAAGTAGAGATCAGCTCTTTTATTGTGTGTTTCTTTCTTGCTAGAGTACAAGGTATTGAAGATAAAGGAAAACATGTCAGTAACATCTTTTCCTCAGTAACATTCTTTTTTTGTCAGTAACATTCTATTGCTAGTAACAATTGATGCAGCTTTAAAAACTTTAACTCATATGTGTGTGTTTGTGTGTGTGTGATTTCAAAAGACTAAACATATATATATTATTAGATTAAATTTTAAAATGTTAAATTTATATAGAGAGATATATAGCTTTAAAATATAAAAATGTTTATCACTAAGAAAAGGAATGTTTAGTTTTTGAACAACTTTTACAAATAAAAAGTATTAACTTTAATACCCACAAATATACTGTATACTGTAGCAATAGTTCTAAATTCATTCTTTTATTGGGACTATATAAGACTGATTTTTAAAAATATATTCTACATGCACAAAACACAAATGTGGATGATAAGATGCCAGAGAACACACCCAGCTTTAGAGTTTCCTGTGGCATATCCAAAGTAGCTGCCCTTTGCCTCCAAAGAAATAGTTTCTGTGTAACCAGCTGTTTCTGTCTCTCTCTCCCTCTCTGTTTCTCTGTTTCTCTCTCTCTCTCTCTCTCTCTCTCTCTCTCTCTCTCTCTCTCTCTCTCACACACACACACACACACACACACACACACACACACAGAGAGAGAGAGAGAGAGAGAGAGAGAGAGAGAGAGAGAGAGAGAGAGAGAGAGAGAGAGAGGCCACCTCTATACCTCTATGGTAACATATATCTTACAGGCTCAAAGAGAATACTGTCCAGTATTTGTCTCTGAAACTTTTGTTAGGTGTGTTTGGAGCACTTGGTACATGTCACATCAGCTGCCTGGAGGAGAATTAGATGTTAACTTTTCAACCAGTGATGAGGAAGGTTAGGAAACAAAATCACACTTAATAGTGTTTCAAAGTCCAGTCACTTCAGTATCTTGTTGGTGCCTGCAGCTCTGATGTAAGGTAAAGTTCCTTTATTTTTCTGTAGGGTGAATGATGCTACTGAGGGAAGCTGGAGAGTTTGGTTCCTGGCTGTGGGCTGCCAAAACATCACCTCCATGGGGATCTACAAATAGATCTATAGTAAGAACAGTTACCTCTAGTGGACTCTAAGTTCAGTTGCCATTTTCTGGACGTGTGTTGATTTCTAAAGTGAATTCATCCACTCCGATCACAATTAGCTAGCCGTACCTGTGATGCTTGATAGGCTGGCTTCCTCGGTCAGGAGAAGTAACCTCTGGGAACGACTGGGGAGCTGAAAAACTTGACTCCATTATTTTCTCCAGCGCAGTCACAGGATGCCTATCCGCTTTTGAATACTGTAGGAAATTACATGCAACGATGTGAGCGGCGGGACATTATGAGAAGGGAGTTGGCCAGACAAGAGCTAGGCACTGAAAAGTATCCAATGATAGAAAATTGTATGTAGCTCATCTACCCATTCTCATAAATAGATATTAAGAAACGGGAACACATATTTTAACCTAAGAACCCATTTCTAGTTAATTGGTAGTAGCTTCTTAGAGTCTTCTATTTTCATAAATTCTAAGAATACCTTGGGAGCAAGAATCAGAAAAATATTATGACCACAAGTGGAAAAAAATGAATTCAAAAGTAAAGCTTAGAATGGTATATAAATTCCTTCCAAAAGAAAATCTCAGTTTTAGACCACATGCAAAACTAAAGGGTATATAATTTGGAATTAGCTGAAGGTGAGAAGTAAGAAGAATGCAAATGTTAAAGAAAAGAACTATGAATTTATTTCTCCATTTTGATACTGGGGATTGACCCTGGGTATTCACTCATGCTTGTCCTGTTCTATCCTCTCAGCCCTGGAAAATGACATAAAAATAAACTCTCTATTTGCTGAAAGTAAGGAGGCATGAATGCTTGCTAAGTTTTGACACTGATGGTTACATATGTGCTATAACCAAGATAAAAGAAATGTATAGAAAACAGAAAAGAGAAAATGAAAGAAAATATTATTAATGCAACAAAGTCATTTGAAGCAGGAGTATAACAAGAAAGAAAAGTATGTCTAATAGGGAAATTGCCGTGATGAATGTGAAACTCTCAAAGATGAGGACAACTGAATTGCCAGACTTAAATGTTGAAAGAGAAATTCCCAACACAGTCATACATCCAGCCATCAGACATCTGAGAGAACATATTGACAAACAGTGGAGGAAAGACTGTCAAGTAGTTGTGGTTCATGCCTCTAACCCAGTATGTGGCAAGTTGAGGCAGGGGACTGGTCAGTTTTAGGCCATCTTAAGATGCCTAGCAAGATGGAGTTGCAAAAATGAAACAAACATTAAAATAACAACATGCAAGATGGATAAAGACATTTCTTGAAAATTACAGGGGTAAAAATGTATAACAGTAATAATATCAAGTAAATTACAATTTAGAACTTTGACACAAAGTTACTTTTAAAGACGGATACTTCATATAAAACAAAACAACTCAACAAGTAATAAATATTTATAAAGTTTTTCTACTTAAAAATAGCTTTGAAAGTACAGAGTGCAGCTAATACCACAGCATAAAACCCTGGAGGAGGTTAGGCATGTTGACAGTTTTCATTACATGATCAACAAACAGGTAGCATTGAGTCTGAAAAGTATAGGATTCAGCATGAGGTCATGGGATGGCTGTTATTCATGAAAATGAAGTAAATTTGCTTTCTAGTTTGCTTCAAAACCTTAAACGACCACATGTAAACAGAATCACAAATTCTAGAGAAATGGACTGGGCTGATTTTTATAAGGCTTTCTTAATAAACCACAAAATAATGAAGATTTTTTAAATTTAATGCTGATAGTAAATTAAAGAAGAGCATAGTAAACATATTCTGTAAGTTAAGATAATGTTTGTAGCCATGACCATAGTTATATGTAATGTTGAATATATAAGATGAATTTACCTTTCAGATTTGGATGAATGAACTTTCTGAATGACTTTGATAGTAACTTATTAATAGCCTTAAGGGACAGAAATGCCTTTCACTTGGACACTACATCCAAAAAATAAAAGCAGGAAAAAGTTTTTATTTAATAAGTACAACCAATTATCATTAAGTTGAAAAACTATTTTTAAGAAAAAAAAAGGCTTAAGTATAATCCCGAGAAAATATTGTATAGCTTTACCTGCAAATGTGTAGTATTGAAAAACTGCCTAGAACCCAAATTAAAACATAAGAGAGTTAGAGTACACTTTCCCCCCAACTTGTAATAGATTTAGAATGCAAAATAAGAGATTTATTTCAGAAGGACATCTTGAGGCGAACATCAGCCAATTATTCCTGAGACATCTTAATTTGCTTGAGAAATTATTGTAAGTCAGCAACTCATTCCATTTTGTAAAACTCAGGTATTTCCAAGAGAAGATTTTGAGCCATTAGCTCAGTCCAAGCAAATCCTGAAATGAGGCTCTGTCCAGGGTAAGCTCTCTCTTAGTAATCTGTATTTAGCCTGCAAATGATCGATGAAATGGAAGATGGAGACAGGAGCTACTCAGCAAATACTAGCTGACGAGCCTCCTCTAGACATTAGAAATCAACAAAAGAGAGGCGCTGTCTCAAAACAAGATGAAAGGCAAGGAACAATACCTAAAGTTATCCTCCAGCCTCCATACATATTTCATGCCATGGACACACAAACTTGTATAGACTTCATACATCACGCACAAATTTAAAACAAAATGGGATATTTAGCTTGGGTGTCATGGCACATGCCATTAATCCCAACACTCCGGAAACAGAAGCAGGAGGATCTCATAGCTTACACATTGAGTGACTCAGTGTCAAAGAGAAATGACCTATATATCGGTACATCTATTCTTCAATCTTTTTTGACAATTTGTTTAACAAAGATCTGTAAGTTACACTGTAAAGCAAGAAGAAAATAAAAGGATAGTTTAAAGAGAAAAGGTAAGCAAGAGAACAGATGTGATGTTTGTATGCTTAAAAAAAAAAGCATGAAAACCTAACAGTGAATGGGATATATTGGAAGAAGACAACATGTAAAGACGGATGGTGCACTGGCTAGTTTTATGTAAATTTGACATGAGCTGAAGTCATCTTGGAAGAGAAAACCTCAGTTAATAGAATATTCCTGCAAATATTGGCCTGTTGGAGCAGTCTGTGGTGCATTTTCTTGAGTGATGATTGATGTGGGAGAGCCTAGCACAGTGTGGACAGTGTCATTGCAGGGCTGGTGCTCTTGCATTGTATAAGAAAGCAGGCTGAGAAAGCCACGAGGAGCAAGTCAGTAAGCAGTGTTTCCCCATTGCTTCTGCATCAGTACCTGCCTGCAGGTTCCTGTACTGTTTGAATTTCTGTCCTGATTGCCTTTGATAATCAACTGTGATATGGATATGTAAAAAATAGACCATTTTTCCCCACAAATGGTTTTGGTCATGGTGTTTTATTAGAGCAATAGAATCTCTAGTTAATACATTAAAATTAATCTTGGAATTTAAAATTTGTATTTGTCTATCCATGACTTTCAAGGAAAAGGAAGTCTCTTGGTCACTGTTCTATTACTGTGAAGAGATACCATGACCAAGGAAACTCTTATGAAAGAAAGTATTTAATTGAGGGCTTACTTAATGTTTCAGAGGTTTAGTCTAATATTATAGCAGGGAACATGGAGACATGTGGGTGTGTGATGGAGCAGCAGCTCAGTGTTCTACATCCTGACCCATACACACACACACACACATACACACACACACACAGTTACACACACACACACAAAGAGGGAAAGGGAGGGGGAGGGAGAACCTGGGGCTGGCTTGGCGTTTTGAAACCTCAACGTGCATACTCAGTGACAGACTTCTTTCAACAAGACTGGACCTACTCCAACAAGGCCATTCCTCCAAATTCTTCTAATCCTTTCATATAGCACAACTCACTGGTTTCTAAGTACCCAAATGTATGAGCCAATGTTGGACATTATTATTCAAACCACCACAGGGGATTATATTTGGCAAATGGCTACTAATAACCATTATATCACCTAGTGATTTATTATTATTCAGTAAATTCTGACAGTGTGAAAAGAAACACACATGTACATCTATAGCTCTATCAAAAGTTAACAACAAAAATAAAGGAAGGATCATCCCCCATGCACTGGTAAGGATAGGGAAAACAGAGGGACCCGCTGAGCAATTCAGTGTTTCCAAATTTCATAGCTTAGTGAAAATAACCAATTTCTTCAAACATAAAACTATCAAAATTGACAGAAGAAAAATGCAACAATAACATTCTTAAAAGTGTTAAAGAAATAGAGAGCTGTATAAATATCATTAATAACATTTAAGTGTCTGAAGGTCTCATGAAGCAATGCTGACTCTGATAAAGAAATCAGATGTGTCTTACAAGTCTGTCAACATACCTGGAGGTGTCAGAGGTGGGGGCAGAAATCTTATCATAAACAATTTTGGAAATAAGTGAGTCCTAAAAGTTAAAGTGAGAGCTGCACATAAGCACTGTTTCGATGTCATGACAAGGTGCAGTGTTAATTTCTTATTTTGCTGATGTGGTTCCTGTGGAAGAGACATTAAGTACATGGGTGTTGAGTACTGAAGCCAGATGTTTTTTCTAGTACAGTAGGTGGAGGCTAGATGAAGGGCAGTGATGGATGGATACTAAGGGAGATATCAGTGTCAACTAACGTTTAGCCAAGTATAGGTACAGATGGCTACATTAAAAAATTATAGCTGTGTGTTGGTCTGTGATCTATTTGCCAAAAGGGCCTATAAGCAAAGCGGTTTCATTGACAAAAAATACTCATAGCTCACACAACTTGACTTGAACAGCATCTACAATGAAAGTGATATTAAGAGAAAAGTCTGATTCGATGATTGGGCCAGATTATCTGGAGAATAAGCTTGAAATATCATGCAGCATAAACACTTCAAGAGCTGATCAATTGAAATTTCCTATCCAAATGGCATGGGCAACTGAACTCTTAGTGAAGAGAGGCAGAACAGCCCGATCACAAAATCAAATCGTATTGAAATGAACAATTAAAAACTGTATTTGGTAAAAAAAAAAACCAGACCATCAAACAAACAAAAATCCCATCTTCTCACCTGGGATTACAAGGTAAATAGATTCCAGACTAAAACCCTGACAACTAAGTCTTCATTTTATGCCCACCTCCCTTTTACTTTGGGATAAGCTGCTTATCTCTGTACATGTTAATTACAGTAGTAGTGTTTGTCTAACCTACTTCATCTTCCTTGAAGGCTAAAGGCAAAGGAATAAATCACTGTCTTAATCCTGTAGTCATCTTGGACTTCAAAAATA